TTGGAGGCCGACAGACTGGCCCCACAGGCTTTTCATTCAGTCCTTCTTGGAACATCCTGCTCTGTGCAGATCTGAGACACCACTCATGCCCTAAGGGATTTTATGGTTAGGGAGGAGGCTTGGCACATCCTGAAGAGCAAAAGCAACATGGTAAATATAGGAGAGGACAGGATCCACAAAAAGGAGAGAAGGGAGGCCAAGCCCAGCTTCCCCTCCTGGGGAGGAAGAGTTGGAGGAAGGCCCTGGAGGACACGGTAGCTCTAGCAAAGTTTGATTGATTTACCTGACTTCAGCCGTGTGCCCAGCTTTGATCGAACCGTATGAACCACTCTGCCTGACCAGAATCAAATCTCATATTCATCTCTCTGGCACTGTTTGGGCAAGTAGCTCCACTTGAACCATATAAAATGGATTTCCCATAAGAAAAATGTCTTTGTTCTTGAAAGAAAGGATATGGGAGAGGTGTTGGATACAATCATCAAACAGCTCCATGTCTTTCACACCATGGCTCCTTGTTACAAACTCTGGATGTTTCTTCAAACCACCACAGAAAATCTCTCCTTCTGCACAGATTCTCCTGTAACTGGGGATTTCTAGGAGCAGCATGGCAGTGTGAAGTGCTAGAAGAGCAATGGTGAGTGGTGCGGGTGAGCTCTACCTGGGGCCTCTCTTGACCCAGGAAGTGGGTCAGGACCCCATATGTGAACCTTCCTATAACATAGAATTGAAGGTAGGGACAATAGGGGCATATTATGAACTAGACCAAGTGGCAAATGTGATTCATTTCAAACTGATTGGCCTTTAAACATCTGTTTCTCCTGGGGGATTACTCAACACAACCTGGAGACTCCAGAGTAGGAAACACTAGCCAGTTTGATGAGAAAGGCCCTCCTCCCATCTTCCTCTCCCACCCTACACCCAACTAATATAATGGCAGATTCGGAGTGTTAACGGACGTTTCCAGCCCCGAAGGGCTTGAGAATGGAAGATGCAAAAGACTTTCCTGATCAAAGTTGGCCATGAATTACCATCATACCATGCTTTCCCTAATTCTCCAGAAAAAAAGAATACAAGGTTGGGGTATCATTCTGGTCTTCAGCTCCATGGAGAGAAAGGAATCTATCCTCTCTTATGTTTATATAGCTGATAAAATCATGACCTGCCTCTAATCCAACTGTCAACTTTCTTTGCCACATTGTGTTGTGTACTGTCATTGTTTGCCCCATTGGCCAACAGCATGTCCCAACTACGTCAGGCATGGCATTTCCTGTCCCTTGTGTTTTGGGTGACAACTCAAGCGAATAAAGCCCTTGGAAAGAAACCCCTCCTGCTTTCCTGGAGGATACAGAAAGTGAACCTTTAGAATGCCGCATTGTTCAAGCCGCTGGACAAATTGCCCCAGAGTGAAGTTAATTTTATTGACCAACTCTACCAGGCTTATCTCCCCAAACTTACCAAGGTATTACTTCAGAAATATTCCTTTATTTTCCAAAATCAGTAGAGATTCAACAAAAAGGCACCACCTCCCTCCAGTGACCTCTCCTGGAGGGAAATGCAACTGAGCATGCTCAAGAGAGTGTCTTTTCTAATTCAGTTCAGTATCTAGATGTTAGCTTGGAGCAGTTGGCACCAGAGAAGGATGTTAAATTACTCTTTTTAGAAAAGGATTTGGTGGAGATGGAGCCTAGTCCAGGAGCAGGTGGATTATAAGAGTATTGGTGTCCTGGAGAGGAAGGAATGTTAGGCACAGGTATCTGTTGCCAACTAGGTGGTTGTAAAAGGAGGGCAGCATAGGATCGTGGTTGGATGGAAATATCATGGTTTTAGCTTTGGATCCATGGGTCAAGCTCAGCTGGACCTCTTACATCGTGATCTTTGGCAAGTTGCTAAAACTTTGAGCATTAGTGTTAAAATCTGCGAAGTGTGGTTGTAAGAACAAAATATTCTGCATGCTGTACCCAATACAATACCTACTAATGCAGGTACCCAACAGATGATATATCTGTAACCTAAAGCCTACTGTTCATTAAGGTATGTTTGTTTGCTAAGGGTGAGCAGAGGAATGGCAGGGATTATGACCTTTTGTCCAGTGGAATAAAGTGTCAGCTCAAGTGCTTTTACTTAAAGTCTCCTACTGTCCCTTTCTAAATGATGTCTACCCAATAAGAAAAAGTTCTAGAATTCCAGCCCAGAGCAAGCCAGGAGGATGTCCAGAGCAGACCAGGACTTGAAGGCAGCAAGGAATCTCACTAACTGCATGCAGTAAAAAAGAGACAGATGCAGAGAATTTGAAATCCAGGAGATGGGACCATACCTTGATTTCCCACATTTTCCTGACTTCCTCACAGTCTTCAACAGATACCATATGCAAAATATGTGGGAAAAAAAAAAAAAAAAACTTCCCAGGGTTTCAGGTGAGATTCTTTCTTCATCTTCATTTCCCAAGGAATCTGGTCATTCACAATCTTCACTAACTTCAATATCTTTTGCAGTTCCAAGAAGAAAAATTATAAGAGCAAGGTTGACAGAACCCATACAGCGGCAAACTTCATTGGGTTTGGTTTCAGAGTGGCACTGGTTCTACTCATTGTCCCCAAAGCTTAGCATCATCTGGAAGCTGGAGGCTGGTCCTTTTCTCTGGTCTTCTGAAGTAGGAAAAGAAAGAATAAACCATTTCCTACCTCCTTTTATCAGTCCTTCAGTGGATGGCAAAAGCAGCAGTGTCTTTCATCATGGAACCTAGAATCACTTGGGCTTCAGGGTCAGCAGGTGTGAGGCCCCGTAACCACTTAATCCTGTCCAGGGAAGTTGCACAAATTTAACCTATATATTTAGCCTCTTACATCCAGGTTTTTCATCTGTAAAATGAGACCTACATTATGGGGTCACTAACAAGATTAAATGATAGGATTTGGCTCATGGCCTGTTCTTTGAGAGGGTTCCCCAGACCAGCCTGTCTTAAAAACATATCTTCTGGAACCCCTTACTCTGTTTTTCTTTCATGGCACTCCTACCACTGGACTTCAAGGAAGTGTGTCCTCTCACTAATTTTTTGTTTCACCTTGCAATTTCCGAGGAAGTCATTCTATCCAATTGATTTACCACTATACCCCTGACTTCTGGAAGATTGTAGGTTCCAAATAAATTAATGTATATGATTGAAGTCTGCCTCATAATAAGTGGATGGAATGAGGCCAGGAAGGAAGCAAGGAGGATAACAAAAGACAGAAGGCTGGATGGTTGGGAGGGAGATGGAGCCAGATAGGCAAGCAGTAAACACTCAGGGAGCCTGCAAAGGCACCCACACCCATTGCATTGCAACTATTCCAGTGTTTACAAGCTGCACTGATCAAGTGGACCTAAGCACTTTGATCAAAAGTATCACCAAATAGAATTAGTTCAAGTATGAAATCCAGGTTCCACACTGAGACTTGGCTTGCATAGCCCTCCTTCTCAAATAGGAAGACAAGATGGAATATAGAAGAATCAGCTCCATAGTAGGCAGAAGCTGAGGATGTCAGAGTTGTAACCATACTGTGACCAGGAAGATGTGATGTCATGGAAGAGAAAGTGTGAGGCTGAAGAGCCTGAAACCTGACCTCTTCCACAACAGAGAATTGTATGCATTTGAGATAGTGCCCCTTAAGTGTTCGAAAGACCTTTCTAAAACATACTGTTTAAAAAACTAAATGGGGTGGTGGTGGTGGTGAGAAGTATAGACAGAATGGCTTAGTGCAGAAGCCATTGGTTCCTTTGGGGCAAATGTGGTTGTACTGGGTTGCTTTGTCTGTCTTTGTTTTTCCATGAAATGATATCAGCTAACAGCTGATGAGAAATCAGGCACTGGTAAAAGAATGACGGATACATTTAAAGTCAAGGGCGGGGGAGCCTGGCCCATCAACTGATTGAAATTTAAATTTTCCTGCTGCCACTTCCCAAGGTAAATGGTGCCTCCCTGGACCAAAGAGCAGAGAAAGGCGGGGCCAGATCTGGGCCTGGGGAGCTGACATCCTGGCTGTTGAAAATGATGTGAAAGAAAGTGCCCAAACAGGACACCAGTGTGGGAGAAAAGATGGTCAAGGCCACACCACAAGGCACAGTTTATTCTGAAGAATGCACCAGGTTTTCTGACTCCTGGGTGGTCTTCAGTGGATGCCACTCTGCACAGGACTCAAGAACTCTCCAAGATTTTGACACTGTAAACCCCAGTTATATGGTTTTGCTTTACCTGGCTGAAAGGTGGTTCAGAAATGGCTACTTACTGAGCTCTCCAGCTATCATGACCTTCTCTGCTGGGGACTATCATCATTTATGACCCTGTGTTTATGAGAGCAATATTTGCCTTGCAAAAGTAAGCATTAGTTGAAGTCAGTGCTTGCTCTTATAGGGAGGCTTCTAGGAATAAAAACATATAAGATCTCTGCTTTATTCATTTGTTGTTTTTTCTTTCTCTCTCCTTCCCTGCCCCTCCCCCCTTTCTTCTTCCTCCCCCTCTCCGTCTTATCCCTTTGTCCCTCTCCCTTTCCTTCTTCCCTTTCCCCACCCCTTGCTTCCCCACATTAGTCATCATTGCTCTTTGGAATCTAACCTAGCTTGCATTTTCTCGCCGGAATTGTGTGGGATGTTGCTAAAGACAGCAAGCTTCCCCTCTCTGCAGCCAGCCAGCCAGCCAGCCAACCCCTTCCTGCTAAGAATGAAATCTGGCCACACAGCTAGCCCTCATCCCCCGAGAAGCCACACATGCCGTGGGTCCTGGATAGCAGCCCTTGAGAAGAGTGAGCTATGAAATACAGGCTTTGCCATGAGCCGAGCCAAGGTGGGGTGCTAGCTATTGACACTAGGTTCCCACCAGCCAATTCCTATCGTGAGTCAGCTGAGATGCAAGGTGCAATTTCTCTGAGCACCTAACACTTCTCACCGTAACCCTAAAGCCTAATGTCATTCAAAGAAAACTAAAAATCCTTGCCAGAGATGGAGGTACTATCATGCTTCTGTTTCAGGCGCCAAACCTGCCCCTGGAATCTGCTTTGAAAGAGTCAACTCAGCAGGCGATCCTTATGGCAACTGTGGCAAAGATTCCAAGAGTTCCTTCGCCAAATGCGAGACAAGGTATGGCAGCTGTACTTCCCAACCGTTATTACTGTGCTGCCCCGCATGGCTAAGCATAGCTTCCAAACTGCCCCTCTTCAGGGTTGTTTCTTCTTACCCTTCCAGAGACGCTAAATGTGGAAAAATCCAGTGTCAAGGAGGTGCCAGCCGACCAGTCATTGGTACCAATGCCGTTTCCATAGAAACAAATATCCCACTGCAGGAAGGAGGTCGGATTCTGTGCCGAGGGACCCATGTGTACTTGGGTGATGACATGCCGGACCCAGGGCTTGTGCTTGCAGGGACAAAATGTGCAGATGGAAAAGTAAGACTCAAAGTCTCTCTTGCATCCTAAATGTAAGTCTGGAACAGTGCCCATTGAAAGACAGCCCATTTAAGAACTGGGGTACAAGGTTGGTTTATTCTCTTGAACCCACTCTTCAAATGTGGTCTCTGGAATCCAATTCTTTACACCTACCAGAAAAAGTCAATAAATCCCAGTTCCCACTCTGATTATTGAAATACAGATTTGGGAAAAATCAAACTTGTCTTCTTGGCCATTTAGTGTTAATAAGTCATTTCTACACCATAGGTGTCATGAGGGTTTCCAGCCAGGAAATTACTTTGGAAAGAAATGCAATAGCATAGTATATTGTTTTTGGAAATGTGGCTTGGCTTTTGGCACAGAGCTTTTGGGGGCTTATTCTTACCTGGACAGAATAGGAAGTCAGACAGATTTTCAGAGGCTCACAGAAGAATAGGAGAGAAAAGAGAGGATCCGTTGAGTACCAAAGAGGGGTCCTTTCAGAGAACAGGGGAAAGGTAGCAGGAAATATTTTGAGATTTGTAAATAAAGTATGAATAATTAAAGAAATTGAGATCTTCATATTCTGCCACATAAGTTTCTTTTTCAATACAATTTCTCATCAGACTCAATTATAGCATGGTCATGAAATGTTTTTAGAAAAAATGATGAATCGACTCTCAAATGCTTTTTTAGGGCTCATTTTCATTGTGATGGTGAAATCACTCACCCAGAGGCCACAGAGAAGGACAGATACTTACTTTGTTCTCTTTATAGAATCCCAGAGGCAAGAATGCTCTCCACTTACTCCCACACACCCTAAGCCACAGAGCGTGTTCCCTGAGGAAAAGGGTGGCACCGACAGCATGAGACACATTCTGCTTATTCCTTAACCACGTTAACTTCTCTTTAGGCCTCCACATTTCAACGAAGCCCCCTATAACCTATAGTCTGAACAGCCACAGCCAGGCACATCTAAACACTGGCATTCCAAGAGCTCCATTTATCCTTGGTGGCTGCCTTTGGCCTTGCCTGTGGGTTCAAGGGGCAAGCGGCACCTCTGCACTGTGATTTTGACCAGAGTCCTGCTGTGTTCATTTCAATCTAGAACCATTTCCTTATCAGATAGGTATGATAGGACTGTCAAATCTCCTTGCCCAGGAGTCCTGCACATTCCTCAAAGCTGTTGGGGTCGGCACTTTCTTCAAAGGGCCTTGGTCTTGCCTTGCATGAGCTATTGTAGGATGGTGACCTTCACCATAGGACTTGTTCTACTTGGTTAAAATGCATTGTCCTGGGGATATAGCTCAGTGGCATAGCACCTGCCTGGCAAGCGCAAGGTCCTGAGTTTGATTCCTGGTACAAAAAAAAAAAATTAAATCTTTTACATTCTGAGAAGTAGACTCTTCTCCCTTTGATTCCACTGATTTGTAACATTTTATAGAAGAGAAAGGGCCTCATTTCTGTCGTCTGGTGCATACTAAGCACCTTTGAAATGAGGTGAAACTCTTTCCACTAGTTCAGTGTCATTTAGCAAATTCCCACTTCAGGAATAGCCTAATAAACCCATAGGAGCCTCCGATTCCTTCTGCTGTTGCTGGTTCATGCTGTTAGTAATACTGCTTGTCAGTCAGTATTTTGAAATACTTCCCACACTTTAGTATCTACTTCAGCAATCCTCAGGCCCTGGTTTCTTGCAGCCTATGAGTCTACACAGGCCCAGGATGAGGAATACTCTATCTTGCCCTCTCCTATATTTTTTTTAAATGGAGAAAAAGTTCTTCAATACATAGGCTTCCCTGCAAACCCTAAACAAAAGTCATGAGAAAAACCAATTATAATTTCAGGATTAACTAAAACCATTTCAAAGGCCATAAAGTATAAGATAATTCAATAGGGTTTGCATCAGACTTAGTCTCAAAGAAGTGCTGAGTTTGGAGCCAGACAACAAGGCCCAGGTCTGAGTCAAATGCCACACGCATCCTCCTTACCTGAAACAGGAGTCTTTTTCAAGCCTTCCCGAGCTTTTTCTTTTTTTCATATACATACATGGGAGGAGGTGAGCTAAAGTTCTAAGATATTTGCTGTGTTTTCCTCCTCCTGCAGATCTGCCTCAATCGTCGGTGTCAAAATGTTAGTGTCTTCGGTGTCCACGAATGTGCAATGCAGTGCCACGGCCGAGGAGTAAGTGGCCTCTTTATAGCCAGGCCGTAACAAGCCAAGCAGGAAACAATTCATTCGTTTAAATGCAATCAGTAGCTTTCAAAAAATATAGCAGTCGGTATCTTCTCAATATTTTCTTCTGAAGACATTAATTTTCTTTGACCTTTGCATAGGAAAAGAGATGTCATTTTCATTTAACAAAGAAAATCAGATTGAATAGTAATTATCTTTTAAATTAACATTCTGTGATTTAAAGAACAAATTTTGTCATCACTAAAGTAATTTCAACAGTAACTTTCCTTCCTGAAGTGTTTCTCATTAGCATTTCAAACCCTGCTGCCCCTGTTTCCAAAATTCCAAATATCAGTTTGAACCAAAACTCTTCCAAAAGGATTAAAATGAGGACAGCAAAGCATACTAACCACATGCTTTTGAAACCCCTTACAATGGATTTCCACCAAAACAGGCTGTTATTTTAGTTCAGAGGCGCTCTGGGGGAGAAGAAGACTATAATTGTTAAAACATAATTTATTTCTCCTGATGGGTTTAATTATTTCCAATAGAATCATATTAATCTTGATTAGCCATGCCAGTGATTCATTTGTGTTTTTGAAACCTTTTCTATAGAAATCATGCTCTAAATTTTATTTTTTAAGCTTCCAGATATTTCCCAATGAGTCTACCATGAAATTACAGAGGTTTGCATAAAAACTTCCCGGCACTTGCCAATGACCCTAACATGGAATTGTGTGATTTTCATATAATTACCACTGCACTATAACCATAATGGATTGCAGTGCCACCTCTGATAGCTTTGTTGGTGCTGCATTTAGCGGATCTTTGTTATAAAAATGGAATCTCTTTATTTCTTCTTTAGATCAGAGAGTTCTCCCACCCAAGTACTCTCCAGGCCTGACTCTGCTTAGCTTCTGAGATGGGAAGGGGTTAAACAGGGTCAGGGTGGTATGGCTGGACACATAGAGTTTTTCAAATGGCTATAAGAGATAAAAGGGTCCAGCCCTATTGTTTGAGTATTGAAGCCAAAATCCAGTGGTGGGAGAATGGTATGTCCACCATAACCTAGACTGGTCTCCACCAAGCAGGCTGGAGGACCCTGGATGTTTCTGTTTCTGTCTCTCTGCTTCTCTGTGTCTCTGTGTCTCTGTCTCTCTCTGTCTCTCTGTGTCTCTCTCTCCCCCTCTCTCTCTCTCTCTCTCTCTAATATCCTTAGGGTCTCATGCACACATCAGAGAGAAAAGATACAATTTTCAGAACAGTGACAAAACTTAGCGATTGGTAGCCGCACCACATTCCCCCCTCATGAAAGTAGGCTCACCAGCGTTACCTCCAAGTGAGATGTCAGGACTGCTCTTCTTGGCCATGAGCTCAAAAGGCCATGCTGCTGTACATTGCAGTGGGAGATTGTGCAGTGCAGGATATGAACGTGAATCTAAGGTGTGGCTTGTCATCAGCGGCACCTTGGAGGAAAGAGCCAAAGCACTCAGATTAGCATGGACTCTGCCACAGGCTACATAATACAGCTTAATTGGAGCTTTGTAGAATGACACTTCCTAAATCATCCCAGGCTGTCTTGACTGTCCAGCTTCAAATCTGAAGCAGTGGGGCCAAATAGTTGATTTCACCAAAAAAGAAACCAGCAGTGTTGAATTCATCCAAAAGAAAAAAAGTCAGGCCAGGCAAGCACAAGGTCCTGGTTCAATTCCTAGAAAGAAAGAGAGAGGGAGAGAGACACACACAGAGGGAGGGGGAGAGGGAAGAGGAGAGGGAGAGAGAGAAAGAAAGGAAAGAAAAAGAAAGAAAAGAAAAAGAAAGGAAAGGAAAGGAGAGAAAAGAAAGAAAAGGAACCCTCCACAATCAGGGCACATACTTCATGTTATTTATTTTGCCTTAAACTATTAAAATGTGTATTTGGCACTAATGTTTTAAAGCACGGCCTTCAGGATTGGTTTACTAACTATAGTTCTGCTTTAACATCCATGCATAAACCAGTCACAAGTTCCTTATCTGCAATGTATAGTTTGTTTATTTAAGTGGAGGGGAAGCTTAGACACTCAACAGCCATCTGAGTGCACATCTTTCTTGTCCTGTGTAGCTTTTCCCAGTCATTTTGCTGCTGTCCCCATCCCTAACTTGTCAGAAATTCTGTTGAGTGATTTGTCTTTATGCAGCACCCTGAAAGGATTCTCTAGCTTTCACAGAAACACATACAGATGCCATTGGTTTGTGCACTGGTTCGTAGCTTACATACATAATGATAGTAAGTTCAATCAAGAAAGAACCACCATCAGTAACCCTGATAACTGGTAAGAAGGACTCCCAGGCCCCTCCATATAGAATGCTGATCTCCTAGTCAGGGACCTGCTCCAGAACCTCCTCCTTTCTGGGCACCTCATGCTTGCCATCCCAGAGCCTTCCTCTTACTTCATGAGGAGAGGAGTTCATTATTGTCTTCCCACCATGCATGATGCAAAGCCCAGGCATGACCACTGAGAAACTCAAGTAGAAAGTGCGCATTTCAGGAGTGAGAGATTGGAGCAGGACTGGAGGAAGTGTTAGTGGAACTCCTGTGTACCTTTGCAGGCATCAAGAAACAGGAGACAAGAACTCCCAGAATCACCCAGCCTCCATGATCCTGTCTGAAAGGGGCAGAAGTGTGTCCCAAGCCTGTCAGGTCCCAAGATGCTCTGGCAGTCTGATTCAGGTCCCTGTGGCAGATTCTGCCTCACTGTGGACAGCATTTCTCCTTACAGTCAGATAGTGAGGGTTTCTTGGATTTAAAAATGACAGGAAGTCTGGGAAGAAAAAAGAGGGAACAGAGAGCTGGTGAGACTTAATAACACCCATAATTCTCTCAGGAGCTGCTAACACCCAGGTTGTGTTCCTTGTACAGCCTCTGGCTCCAGCCTCACCTGTATGGTACTATTTTGGGCTGGTTCTCACTGTGACCTTCACTGAGTTTGGCTGAGTACATGCTGGTGGGATCTCTGGCCTCAGTGCTTTTACTTTGCTATGGTGCTAGAGTATTTATCAGAGATTTATCACCACACCATGTAGTGGCTGCGCCCTAACACTTCTCCTTTGGATGTCTCACCCCCCTGCTGTCCCGAAAGGTATGCAACAACAGGAAGAACTGCCACTGTGAGGCCCACTGGGCACCTCCCTTCTGTGACAAGTTTGGCTTTGGAGGAAGCACAGACAGTGGCCCCATCAGGCAAGCAGGTGAGTGAGGCCCCTGCACACTGGGAGGTGGGCACTGAGCTCTGGGTGTGGTAGGTAGCCAGGTAGGCTAGCCGGGTATCAGTATGGGTGCAACACCAACATGGTGCCCGTGGGGAGGTGGGGGACCCCATGTGGCTCAGACCCAGCCTGAGGCCTCTCCCAGTGTGCAGTGCTCCATCCTTCTCACCTGATCGTCTCCCAAGGCCCTTTACTCTCTGGCTAAGTTTGTCAGGGTCTTGGCCTGTAACACTCTTCTCAGCTAAGGCAGTGTCTGTGGTGAACACCAAGTTGGTTTGAACTTTATCATCGTACCAAAGAACTTTGTGAAGCCTGACTTCTCTGTGCTGGGGCCACAAGGTGTGATGCTTAATGCCCTTTAAAACGCTGACCAGAAAGAAGGACACCTTGTAATAAAGTTCATAGTTTCTATGGCAGCAGCAACAGTATGGTGACTCTGTATGAAGCAGCTGTGTACCGGCACCATGCTAAGCAATTCATGTGCATGATGTCATCTGCTCCTTACACTACGCTACAGCAGGTGTGATGGTTAAATAAAGGACCTGAGGCACAGGGAAGTAATGTGTCCAGTGTCATATAGCAAAGATCGAGGCACAAATCCCTGTTCCCAGAGAAACTCTTAATATGATAGCAGCTGTGTTTGAATCCTCCATTCATTTCTCCTCAGATGAGCTTTAGAACTGGCCTCCTAGTACAGTGCTGTTTTCTCTGAGTTCTTGTCAGGCATTTGAAGGACAAGTCTGAAGGATGTCCCTTTTAAAGTGAAAGAAACAAAGCAAAAAAAAGGGAGGGGCAGGCTGCCAGCCCAGAGAGCAGCTGGGGAGCCAGAGCAGGTGGTGAGTGATGGAGAGGACTGCTAGGGCCTCCTTGGCATACATCTGAACACCCATGATGCTTGGAGTGTGACCAGTGCTGCTGCGCAAGAGGTCATGCATCCCCAAGGCCTGCTGTGACTGGCAGCACTGAATCTGGTTTTGCCACCATTTCTATGACAACAGACACAACACTGCTCTGCAGGCCCAGGCAGAACACGCCCTGAGCTCTGGAGGGGAGGCCAGCCTCCCAGGCATATCTGACGAAGCTGCACAAGCAGGGCCAGTGAATGCCCTGTCACCACCCCTGAAATACAGATGTGTTCCAGTGTTGCTCCTGAGAGCCCCAGGTCTCTGCTCTTTCAGGCCCAGGCCCTGAGCAGGTAGGGAAAGGCCCAGAAAGTCCTGCTTTTTATTAGCACCCGCTGCAGTAGGGAGCAGCAAAGGCTGGGCCAAGCGGGTTCTTTTCCCAATGCAATCTCAAGCCTTGAAAAACAGTCACTTACTGCAAATTAATATTCTAATGGGACTTCTTCCATTCATTGTACAAAAATAGCAAGGTTTATTTTTCAGTCCATCAAAGACCTTTCTATCCATTCTATATCTAAGCAAACCTGATGTCATTCAAAGGGACTGGAGAAGGGGGGCTGCTCCAAGCCTGTCTCCGATGTGGACATGCATGACCAGTGCACTCGGGTTTCATGGTAGTGATCACCCTCTCCATTACACCAAGGAAGAATGTTAAAAACAAAACCCCCGAAGGACCCAACTCCACCCACTGTTGTCTTCATTTCTTAAAAGAAGGTGTATGGTAAACACTTCCCCTCAACATGTGCCTGAGAGAGGCAGGTGTGACCAAGAGCTCCCTGGCTTCACTGTCCCCACTTCCCACTGCTCTCTGGCCCCACCTTGGCTCACTGGGTCAGCAAGTACTGCCACATGCTGGCTGTTCTCCAGGTCCTGGAGAGGGCAGAGGAGGTAGCACATGGCGTGATAAGTGGGAGGTTAGGGAGAGAGTAGGGGCACACCACAGGCTCAGGAACAGTGTGGGGATGGATGTCCAAAGTGGGTTCAAGCTTTATCATTGTACCATCATGCGTCTGCTGAGATCTGCAGGGTCAGCGAGCAATGTGCTCTAAGCAGAGCTGGGCTGGCTGCACAGAGACCCAAAAGTGGGACAGGCCAGGCAGGGGTGATGGTGGCTGAGAGAGGGGATGTGGAAAGCCAGCTGTGCAGAACACAGATGAGGGTAATGGAGTCACAACCTACCTACCTCCCTCTGGGAATTCAGTGTTTGACACCTGCTCAGGAAGAGAGGCAACCCTAGGGGTGCCCAGGGGCAGTTTGCTGGGGGCCCAGTAAATGTTGGATAAATTGATCAGTCTAAGACTTATAGATTGATTTTAAGCAACTAGAAATTACGGTTCAAGACTTGTGTTGCTCCTTTTTTAATTCGCTTTATGAGACAACCGAACTCTATTCAGAGCCCCTGGTTGTTGCTAAGAGTCTTAAATGAATGACATGTTAGCCACAAAACCAGAGGGAAGCTTTTCTAGCTACACGAACAAGTGAATCAATTCTGGCGTAGACATACCGCTGATAGGATGTGTCAGTTAGGAACAAAGTCCAGAAACAGGGTGTGAAGGCATTCTCCCCCAGAGAGGGGGCTGCCGCTGCTCAGACCCACAGCCAGCAAGGGGTTGAAGGGACAGAAGGAGGGGAGCCTGGGTAACTGAAGTCACAAATGACTTTGTGTTGCTCCTCTGCATACCTGCTATATGAAGCATACGCTAGAAAGGCCGTAGAGTGAAGTCCCAGGGGGAAGTCATTCAAGCTTTTTCTTTTCATTATCTGAAATAGTCTCATTATAAAAAATAATAATTATTATAGGAAAAAGATAAAGCAGATCTCTAATATCATAGAGTGAGAGAAGGGGCTTTCAAGTACAGTAGCTGATTTGTGAAGATGCTGGACGCATTTTAGTTTGGGGACTCTAATTCTGATCCGGCTTGAGGGATGGTCCCTGCTCCTTTCGGTTGGCCACCATGGTTGCCTGGCTCAGGGAGCCGTGTGGTCCAGCCACAGTCCCACCTACCAGAGCATGTTCCTGTTTAGTAAGCGCCAGAGTTGTCACAAATGAGTGATGGCAGCGCACACTGAACCTCACCCAGGACCGCTGAAGTAAGACTAATTTATTAGTACATCATCCGGGGATTTATTCACCTCGTCTCTGTTTGTTCCTTCAAAGTTCACTCTGCCATAAATGTCACAATGTGATACCTCCCGTATTTCATTATAACTGCCTCCTTCCGTGAGCTAGATGTGTTTTGTTTCAGATAACCAAGGCTTAACTATAGGAATTCTGGTGACCATCCTGTGTCTCCTGGCTGCTGGATGTGTGGTGTATCTCAAAAGGAAGACCTTGATACGACTACTGTTTACAAATAAAAAAACAACCATTGAGAAGCTAAGGTACCCCTAACTTTGTGCCATCATCTTTTCAAGAAATGATACCACAAACCACTTCTCACTTTGTGGTCTTCAGCAAAGAGACTGTTTCGGTAGTAAGACTGGGTCTTTTCAGTGTATTTTATTTGCTTGGCTTGTTTTTTAATTTCTACCACACTAGCTGTCTTTTATACTTTCCCTCCAAACTATTTGCTGCTCGTTATATAAATGAGCAATGTGTTGATAAATTCCATGGATGTGTTTTATTCTACCCTTACACTAGTAATTTTTATAAGAGATGGGGATACTGGAATGTTTCATCAGATGGGGTAGCTTTTGATCCAAATGTACTCAAAGATATTATTGCTGAAATGCCAGCTTCATACAAGATATCTCCTGAGTGTCACAAAGCTGTATTTCTACAAGAAATACAGGCTGCAAGAACTAATTTGACATAATAGTGGCTTTGGGGGGGAAATCAGTATTTATTTTTACATCTCAAAAGTGTTCTTTTCTTTCGCATGTTTACCACAATGAATGAAAATAAGTAAGTTATGTTTTGAGTGACACAGTAAACAAAATCTATGATGTTAAGCCAAGAAGGGGAAGCCCTTCAGTCAGCGTGTATGTGGTTACCTTGCAGGTGTGTGCGCTCTTCCCGGCCAACCAGTGCTTCCCAACCTGGTCAGGCTCACCTCATCCGCCACGGAAAGGGCCTGACGGGTAGGCCGCCACATTCCCACACAGCTAAGGTAAGCTGGGACACACCTGAGACACGCGATGGGGGCCACTGCCTGGGGTCTGATGAGCTTGTCTGGCCTGGTGTTATCCGAAAGCATTTTGAAGAGTTTCACTAAGCTTTCTTTTATCATTTCACCCTAGCCCAGAGCTATGGAAGCCTAGTCCCCCTCTTTCAAAGACCTGGATCCTTAGCTGAGAGTACCTTAAAGTTCCCTGCAGTCTGTTACTATTCCTACTACCCTGATGAATTATTACTAAGTTTACACTCTCATATTTACTTTTTCCCCACCATTTTATATATATATATCTCCATAAGAATTCTTAAGTATTAGCCAGACATGCTGGTACATGCCTATCATCCCAGCACTCTGGCAAGCTGAGGCAGGAGGATCACAAGTTCAAGCCCATTCCAGGCAATTCAGTGATTTAGTGTGACCCTGTCTCAAAATTTTAAAAAATAAAAAAGGCTGGAGATACAGCACAGTGTGAAGGCCCTGGGTTCAATCCCCAGTATTATCAAAATAAATTTTTTAGAATATTGTAGTGGAAGAATCCAAATTATAACAGGGAAGAAGACTGATGTCAAGAAATGAAAAACGATTGAAAATAGTCATTATCACATATTCCGTAGGTAATTATTTTACCTCCCTTGATCCAAGACGGAGGGTAAGGTCCCAGAAAGGCAGCCACCATGATGCCTCAGAAACTTTACTACGCTTTATCCCCAAACCTGGGACCACATGCAACAATGTGATTCTAGAGAGCCAGACTACAACTTTATTTTTAAAACTAGAAACAACCCTACTGTCCATCAACAGGTACAAGGGTAAACTGTGGTGGATTTACTCAGGGACACGTTATTCAGCAATAAGAAGGAATTAATTGCTGGTATACTGAATGTCAGGGGTGAATCTCAAAATTATTATTCTGGGAGAAGACATACAGAAGAAGAGTATGTACTCTATGATCCTGTTTACATCCAACTCTTTAAATGCAAAATAATTCATGGTGACAGAAAGTGGATCAGAGGTTACCAGTGTCAAGGAGATGGAGGTGGGGAAGGGAAGGAGGAAATTCTTTGGGATAATGAATGTTTCCTATAGTGCTTGTTCTGATGCCTTCATTTGTGTAAACATTGGTCAGAAATTACCAAACTCTGCATGTCAAATATGTGCAGTTATATAAGACAGTGAGGAAGACAGGAAGCAGTGGGGGCCTGAAGTTCAAGGCCATGCTGCATGGGATCTGAGGGACACGGTCTCCAGAAACAAGCCCCTGACCTTGGCACAGCTTCCCAATGTCTCAATTCTAAGTAGTTTTTTGCATTCACGTTCAGCTCTGCATACACTAAGTTGTGTCTTCTTTACACATCCTCTTTCTAGCTTCCTTGAAATCTGGATTGTGTCTTCATTCTCGGTACTTCCTAAAAGGTCTTGCACCTATTTATTAAACCAGCGTTTAAAATACAAACACAAAGTGATCACCCACCCCAGATTTGGCCTGATGTGTGTGTCGTGGTGGTGGAGTGTTTCTGTTAGAATTCTGGAGTGTAAATATAGATTCTTTCTCATGGATACCCTGGACTTCTTGCCTTTTCCACCCTCCTCCACTTTTGGCCAAAGAACACAAGTTAGTGTTGCTGCTTCCTTACGATTTATTGATACTGCTGAAACCCATTACAGCATAGCTCTTTGCTTTGACTGCAGGACAGGAGACCACCGCCATGTCTGAATGTGGACATCAGCAGACCCCTCAGTACCCTTGCCATCCCTCAGCCCCAGTCACCCCAGCGAGTGCTCCCACCACTCCACCAGACTCCTCGGGTACCAAGTGGCCCTGCCAGACCCCTGCCAGCCAATCCTGCACTGAGGCAGGCCCAGGTAAGGGGCCAGTGCTCATTTGATGGGATATCATTCAAAGCTACTCTCTGCTACTTGCTAATGTGTGAACTTGGGCAGGTTGCTTAACTTTTTGGTACCTCTATAAGGTAGAGATTATTCAGCTATACAGGGGATTAAATGAGATAATACATGTACAACATTTAATTTATTATTAATATTCTTTTTAATATTCACTGTAGCCAGGGTGCTCATGCAACTTATCATCTAAACCATGGACCACTTGAGAATAACAGGGGACACTATTAACAATTACCCTGGACAATGAAACAGAGACAGGCAATCCAAGACAGGTGGTCACTCTAGTAATAGTTATACTTTCTTACCATTTTTTATGTTCACAATTAAGTACAAGAATTTCACAGCCTGTTGAGTTTTTTTTGTTCTAGACTTAGCATTATATTGGACATTTTGTGTATATCCTCTCATTTTCATGCAATTTTTGGAAGTAACTTTTTCTTGCCATGAACATATTTTATAATAGGAAGTTTGGTGAAAAAAAAAATGGAAAAACTGACATAAGCCTTGTTAATTTTTGCTCCTATTGTTACATTCTTTTCTAATAATTTTATTTATAATTAGGTCTCAATTTATTCTTTACATATACAGCTTTACACACTGCATTTTTGCTTTAAAATCTCTCCTCTATAAGTTGGTACTGCTAAGTCCTATGAAATGTTATTTTAACAAGTAGCACTCTGCTTGAATATAGTATAATTTCTCAAGTATTTGTCAATTAGTGGAAATGTTTGAATGTCTCTAAGTTTTGCTACTGTAAACATCTCCATTATAAAGTTTTCTGCATAAATAAATTTTGACTTCTTTAATTCTCCCCTTAAAAGAGATTCTTAAAAGTGAAATACTGAGTTGAAAGCTTAGACTAGTTGGGCTGGGGATTTAGCTCAGTAGCACGTGCCTCCCTGACAAGTATAAGGTCCTGAGTTTGAGTCCCAGTACATACCCCCCCAAAAAAGTTACGCTAATTAAGCCTTCATGATATACAAGTTAAATGCTTTTTTCAGAACTGTTATATACATTTCTATTCTCACATCATTATTGAGCATCTCACCATGACTTTGCTAGTACCAAATACTACTACTTCAAAGCACTGCCAATTGGATAAAGTGTCTTCTTTCAGTTCAACTCTGCTGATTGTGATACACATGATTAGAATTTGTCTTGGTAAATTGTAAAGTCACTTTTATCACTAGAAATTACCCTCTTTAGCTCTGGTTATCTTTGCTCGAAAGCCTGCTTCATCTGATATTAATATATCTATACTAGTTCCCTTTTTATTAGTGTTTGTAAAGCGTATTTTCCCTCTTTTACTCTTAACCTATACTATATTTCAAAACAGTTTCTTGCAGACAACATATAGTTGAATAACATTTTTTCATCCATTCTGCCAACCACTCTCCTTTATTGGATATGTTTAGGCCATTTACATTTAGTGCAATTATCTATGTTATAATTTAAGTCTGTGACCTTAATGTTTTGTTCATTCCCTCTGATCCTTGTTGCATTGTGCACCCTCTCTTACATTCCTGTGATTCAGCTGAACATTTTAAGAAATGCATTCCATGTTAATTAACCTATATTGTTGAGTATATATCTTTGTATAGTTTTATATGTGATTGCTCTAAGGCAGGGCTTCTCGACCTCAGCATTTTGGTATTTGGGGCTGAATAACTCATTATTGCATGGGTCTTTTCTGTACATTTTATGAAGTTTAGCAGCATTCTTGACCATGACTGACCAGATGGCAATAATACTTGTAATCACGTTTCCAGACACTGCTAACTGTCCCCTGAGGGACAAATCATCTCAGTTGAAAACCACTGCTCTAGAAGTTATAATATATGTTCATCATTTATTATAGTCTAGTTGTATTGGTATTTTATCACTTCAGGGAAAATGTAGAAACTGCCAGCTTTTAGGTCCCTCTATCCTTTATTACCTTTATTGAGAACACTTACCTACATTGAGAACCACTTCAGACAATATAATTTTTGCTTTTAGCCAAACATAATGTTTAAAGCCTGAGAAGAGTCTACCATATTCAGTCATATATTTACATTTTATGTTCAGGCTTCCTTTCTGATGTCCCAAATTTGTTATTTATTTTCTGCCCAAAAAAGATTCTTTTAGTTATTCTTTTAGTTAAGTTTGTGGCTAATAAAGTCTTAGTTTCCCTTCATCTGAGGCTGTCTTTATAACGGATATTTTTGCTAGGTTGATTATTCTTTCATCACTAGAAAATAACCTTATTCCCATTCTTTCTGGACCCCATGGCAGTGAGAAATTGACTAAACTTTCTGCTCAAACTCTCTGCTTAAGAGAAAGAATGTAGCCCATTACCAAAAGAAGAGATGGAAAAGAGAGATCTGCCAATCTCCAGGCTGTGGTTCCCACTGAAGAGACAGAGGGGAGAAGCTTTGTCCTGGTGTTGAGCTGGAGTAAAGTCTTTATAGGCAAAATGGCTCTTTCTTTCTGGATCACTCTTTCCCAGCTATCTGACTACAGTGGTCAGGCTTTCCTCGGGTCTATTTTTGTTTTGGTTTCTTTGGTGCCATTTAGTTATGGATATGTGGTTTTTTTCCTTTTATATCTTGGCTGGAACTTTGGCACACACACACACACACACACACACACACACACACACACAGCTGGGTAGTTCTTTAAAACCTGAGGTCACTACCAGTCTACAGTAAGTCACCAACTTACAGACGAGTTCTGTTCCAGGAGAACATTCGTAAGAAGGATTCCTTCCAAGTCTGACAAAGTCGTATACAGTACACCTGTGGAAGTTCACAGCGCAAATGTTTGTAAGTTAGGGACTCACTGTTTTTATGTTGATGCAAGGCAGTAGGCACAGCCTAAAATTTTCTGAGCTTCTCACTTTTTTGAGAACCCAAGGAAAGCTATGAACCCTTGGGAAATGCACCAATACTCAGTATTTTGCATGTGCATTTCAGATGTCCAGAAAGCCCTTAAGCACCTATGCCATGGATTCCTTCTGAAGCTGTTCTTCCTCCTTTGAAGTAAACCACCTGTGTACAGAGTCAAGCTGAGACTGTCTCTAACAGACTAAGTGATCAGAGGAAAGATTTCTACATGCTGGTGTCTTCCTCTGCCAGCTGTGAATTACCACAGAAGTGGCTCCTTCAAATTTTCCTTTAAAGCAGCCCTCCAAAAAGTCCTTTATTCTGCTCTATGAAACTAAGGAAATGTTACCCTTTAACCAACAGTCACTGAAAATATCCACGTTTCTCTCTCCAGGCTGGTGTCTGTCTGGAACCTTTGCGAGACACGTGATACAGCTTAAGCGCATGATTTCTCTCCCATCACAAGGAGGGAACCGGGATTAATTCCATCCAGGTGTGGGGACTATTTGGAGGTAGCGCTTGTTTGGCAGCACAAATTGAATGCACTGACGCTTCACACTTTTTAGCATTCCCAGTGCTCAGCCCTGCACAACACGACACATACACACAGCTATATGGCTACTCCAGCTTCATGCGTCAAATTTACCATGTAAACATTCCAGGAGGAAAGAAAATGTTGTCACAAACACTATATTGGTCAACTTCACATTTAAAAGGTAAGCTAGTTCTTTATAGAAAACATTTCATCTTCTGTACGATGTTTGATTTCTTTTAATTCAAAGACACTTGGATCAACTCATTTTCTTGTCCACAAATTTGCCTTCCAAAGTGCTGTCTCCTGCATGGTAAAATGACCCTTGAGATTCAAGTTTCTCATCCTGACTCCCCGGTCTTGATAAAGGAAACAAATTTTAATTTCCTTTTCATCTTACTAGCTATTCTAGAGGAATATAATTCAATGTGTTCATTGAGCTGTTGGCTGTGACAGTGTCCCATAGCAGAGCTTGAAAGGTAAAATTAGGCTGAAGAGAGTAGTAAAGAAGAGGAGGGAAAATGAGAGGTTAAACAGTGTCGGATGACTTACATAATGGGGTGCTCAGGCAGGGAGCATGATTAAACATCTCTGCTTAGAGTAAAATTTGCCCTTCAGATATTCCTGTTATGCCAAAGTCATTGAGTTTTGCCTCCAAATATTACTAAAAATTTAAAATACAAAGAATTACAGTATACCCCCCAAGAAGTTATAGTTCAAAGTTGGCAGCCTCATCGTTCACAGCCTCATTGTTTGCAGATTTTTCTTTACAATCTAATAATTGTTTGCACAGACTCTCCCAATTTCTCAGAAACCGCAACTATCCTCCACAATTGTTTTTTGGGGAATGGGGTTGCAAGGAGCCAATCCGAGAGCGTTATTCAGTTCTCCATGCTCCTGATTGGCTGCTGCCATGTAACCCATCTCTGATGGATGCATCAGCTCTGGCCAATGTATCACAACAGGTTGCTGTAATGCCTATAGCTATCTCTCATGTTCTTGGTTTTGCTCTTTTTAAAGAACATCCCTAAAATGCCACCAAAACACCCTTGCACCTTCTATGGCTTTATTAATACAGTGCTTTATTAAGTTAAATTACATAACTGCAACGACATAGCATATTTAGGGTTTTTTTTTTTTTTTTTTTTTTTTTTGGTTTTTCTCCGGTACCGGGAACCGAACTCACGACCTTGCACTTGCCAGGCAGGCGCTTTTGCCGCTGAGCTAAATCCCCAGCCCCCATATTTAGGGTTTAAACTACTAAAATAAGCGTTTACAGGCATTCTTCTGAACTTACCTGAAACTCAGTTTTTTACAATTTACAAGTGCTCTAGGAACATAATTTCCATCAACATAATTTCCGAGGGTCCACTGTATATGCACCAAATTGAGAAAGTACAAAAAGGCACAGCAAGCACATATCTTAAGCAGAGTGCTAGTCAGTTTTCTTCTAGCTGAGACACAATACCCAATACCTACAACTTAAAGGAAGATAATTTATTTGGCTTACAGTTTCCTGGGAGTTCAGTCGAAGGTTGGCCGATTCCAAGGCAGAAAAGCATGGGAGAAGGGCTTTCTTCCTGGCAGAAAAAAAGCTGCTTGTCCCATAGTAGCCAGGAAGCAGAGGGAGCAGGGAAAACCAGGACCAAAATCCACCCTTCCAGTCACATCCCCTGACTGGCTTCCAATCAGGTCCCACCTCCTAGCAGCACTAGAACTCACCCAAGGATGAATCCACTGATGAGAGCAGTACTCCCTTCATCCAATCATCTTCCAAAAGCCCCACCTCTGAACACATGAGACCACTAGGGGACATTTCAGATCTAAACCATAACAGCAGAATTCTGAAAGCAGTCTTCCCAGGAAGCAGCAGCTAGAGCTGTGACCATGAGGCGTTAGGCTGCAGGGCAAGCAGGAACACTGGGAAACACAATAGAGAAAACAGTCACCCCCTCTTGAACTCACTCTCTGTGAAATTCACTGACTTGTATTTTGGGAAGAAATGGGGGCTGTTCAGGGAGCTGAGAGGGAGGGAGACCTAGAGACACTGCGGACAGGCCCTCTAGGAGAAATGGCACTTGGTATACAGTTTTTCCGTTTCCTCTTCTGCAGGCCAATTCCCTAGCCACATCCTAGACCCGTCAGCAGAGTTTGAGCCATGGCAGCCTAGTGTCAGCCTCCATTTTATTGGAGAATGAATGTCCAAGCCAAGTGCAGAGGACAGCACCCTGCCAGCAGCACTGAGCTACTGAAAGAGGACAGGGTAGCTGGAGAAGGTGGACCATAGAGGGACACAGGCCACCAAGATCTTCAGGAAGGGCTGGCCATGGACCAAGTGTCCTATTGTCCTTCAAGAGAGGAGCTCAAGTTGCTAAATTTAGAAAAATAAATGGGCTCCTCAAAACGATAGAAAATGAGGCCACTTAGGAGGCCATTTCTAACTGCCAAGTGCCAGTGTGTGACTGTATCCCTAAAGATGGGAAAGGAGCGGAGGGCTGAGGCATTCTGGATGCTTCCTAGAGTTCCAGGATATACTCAGCTAAAACCCTTTTGGTTCTGATTATTAAAGTTTAAACAAAAACAGGCTCAACGTTACATCTAAGGTAAATTTTTCAGCTTACAGAAAAGTTTGCCTAGAGAAGCTCACATTAAACAGCAGCAGATCAAAACATAATTTTCTGCTGTCAGACCCCGAGGTGCCACACAGGATCCTAAAGGGACAATGAGTGGCCCCCTCAATTCCCCCTCAGGCAGGGCAGGCTGTTCTAACCAGTGGGATGCAGGTAAATGCCACACACTTCCAATTTCTCTAATTACTTTTCTAAACCTTTGACCCACAAAGCAGCATTTGAACTGCTTCTGCTGATCGATGGCTATAATGTAGGGTTATGCCTCACCAGCATTTGTTATTCGTTGATTTCTTAATGGTAGCCATTCTTTCAGGGGTAAGATGAAATCTTAATTTTTTTAAATTAGCATTTCCCTTTTGGCCAATGATAATGAACATTGTTTCATGTACTCGTTGTATTTCTTCAAATATCCATTTTTTTAAATTAGGTCTTTAAATTTGGGAGTTTTAATTTTTGGAGACCTTTATATAGTCTGGATATTAGTCCTCTGTCTGCGGAGTAGCTGGACATTTTTTTCCCCACTCTGTACATTGTCTCTGCACTTGGTTTCCTTCGCTGTGCAAAAGCTTTTTAGTGTGACCCCATTTGTTGATTCTTGGTATTATTTCTTGCACAACCAGGGTTTTATTCAGAAAGTCTTTGCCTATACCTATGTCTTAATAAGTTCACCTATTTTGTCTTCCAGAAGATTCTGTTCTGATGTAGAGATCTTGGATCCATTTTTATTTTAATTTAATGCATGATGAGAGATATGGATCTAAGTTCAAACTTGGGCATGTAGATAGCCAGTTTTCCCAGCACCATTTGTTAAAGAGGCTAGCTTTCCTCCAGTGAAGGGATTTGGCCCCTTTGTTAAAGATAACATAGCAGAGCATACCTGGAGTTGCTCCTGTATCTTCTATTCTGTTTCACTGATCCACAAGTCGTTTTTGTTTTTGTTTTTTTGCCACTATCATACTGTTTTTATGACTCTAGTTTTGTAGTATAAATTGAGGTCTGGGATTGTGATGTCCCCTGCCTTGTCATTGCTACCCAGAATTGCTATTGCTGTTCTAGGTCTCTTCTGGTTCCAGAGGAATGTTTTTCTCCTTTTCTGTAATAAATGTTATATGGATTTAATGCAGTCCTGATAAAAATACCAATAACACTTTTGGAAGTATGACCATTTTAAGTATATTGGTTCTTCCTATCCAGGAACAGGGGATATCTTTCCTTTTTCTGATATCCTCCTCCATTTCCCTTTTCAAAGTACTATAGTTTTCACCATAGAGGTCTTTCATTTCTGTGGTTAGGTTAATTCCTGTTTCATTTTTCTTGATGCTATCATCACAGGCATTGTCCCTAATTTCCCTTTCGGTGAACTTGTTATTGGTGTACAGGATTGATTTTTGAGTGTTGACTTCATGTCCTGTTACACAAGTGAATTTGGTTGTTAGTTCTAGGAGTCTTTTGGAGGAGTTTTTGGGGTCTTCTATGCAGAGAATTATGTCATCTGCAGCTAATGATAATTTAACTTCTTTCCCTATGTATATTTCTTTTATTTCTTTCTCTTGTCTCATTGCTCCAGCTAGTATTTTTAAGAACTATGTTGGACAAAAATGGTGATAGTGGGTATCTTTGTTTTGTTCCTTGAGGGAAAACTGTCAGTTTCTCTCCATTAAGTATAATATTGGCAATTGGTTTGTTATAGATGGCTTTACAAGATTAAGGTAAGGGCATTCTATTCCTATTTTCTTGTGGGTTTTCATCATGAATGAATGACAAATTTTGTGAAATGCTTTTTCTGCATCTATTGAGGTTTTCGCCCTTTCTTCAATGTATGTGATGAATTGAATTTATTGATTTGCATATATTGAACCATCTTCTCTGCATCCCTGGAATGAATCCTAATTGGTCGTGGTGTATAATCTTCTTGATGATTTGCTGCATTGTGTTTGCCAGTATCTTAATGAGGACTTTTGCATCCATGTTCATAGAGATTGGTCTGTAGTTACCTCTTTTGGTTGGATCCTTCTACGGTTTTGGAATCGGAGTAATACTTCCAGGAGTGATTTTGGGAAGGCTGCTTTCCTTTTGAGTTTATTAAAGAGTTGGAGGAGTATTGGTGTTAGATCTTATCTAAAGTTCTTATAGAATTCAGCAGTGAATCTGTCAGGACCTGGGTTTTGCTTTTTCTTTCTTTCTTTTTTTTTTTTTTTTTTTTTGTACTAGGAATCGAACTCAGGATCTTCTGCTTGCCAGGCAGGTACTGCACTACTGAGCTATATCCCTGGCCATGTTAGGGATGTAGCTCGGTGGCAGAGTGCTTGCCTAGCATGCACAAGACCCTGAGTTCAATTTTCAATACCATTATTTTTTGGCCTGCGTTTTTCTTAGTTTGTAGGGGTTTTTTTTTTATTACTTCTTCAATTTTACTTTATGATATTGGTTTATTTAAAATTTTTGTATCTTCTTGGTTCAGCTTTGGTAGTTCATACATATCTAGGAATTTATCCATTTCTTCTGAGTTTTCCATTTTATTAAATACAGATTCTCAAAGTAATTACCAATAACCTTCTGGATTGGGGTAGAACCCATTGTGATTTCACCTTTTTCATTTCTAATTTCATGGCTTTGGGTCTTTTCTTTTTTAAATAAAATTGACAAAAGGGTTTGTCTGTTTTGTTCACTCTTTCAAACAACCAACTCTTTGACTCCTTGAATCTTTGTATTGTTTTTCAGTCTCCATATCATTAATTTCTGCCCTAATCGTTATAATTTTCTTCCTTTTGTTCTTATTTTTCTAAGACCTTGAGTGGTATCATTAAGTTATTTATTTGAGCATGTTCTAATGTGGAAATTTGCTGCTATAAACTTCCCTTTTAGGACTGTTTTCATTGTGTCCCATAGGTTCCAGTATGTCACAATGACATTATTGTTTGATTGTAGAAACTATCTAATCTCCTCTTTAATTTCATTTGTGACCCTTACTGGTTTTTTTATTAGTACATTTGTGATACATAATTACATTCATTTGGGGGAATTAGTACATATGTGTGGTATTTTAAGCACCGTTCCTTCCCTACTCCTGTCCCTTCATGGGCACAGGCCAGTGTTGGAATCACCGCAGCACTCGAAGCGGTAATGTGCAAGTCTGCAGCTTCCTCAGTGGGAGTGACACCACACACCCTGCAGAGGGGAGATTTCCCCTCCCGTGTTTCGTCAGACACAGTCTTCTAGTTGGCATCCCCCACTTGGGTCTCGATTGTGCACAACATACTATTTTATAAAAATGAGACTGACCAGTGTGGGCCAGGATCTTCTAGGACAGCGGTGATGAAACTATGGCATGCATAGCATGGCCAGCTGTTCGTTATCATCGAAAGCTCTAACGTTCACCGTCACTGTTCCAGGAAAAGACAGCAGGACAATGGAGATTCACTTGACTAGCTTAGGAGGTGGTTGTGGTGTTAAATGAAGTCCAAATTCTTCAGAAAACAGCAATGAGTGATTCACTGAGGCTGTTACTTGTAATAAAAGTGCTATTCATCAGTGCTTTGCTAGGTCCAAATATGAGCAAAACAAACGATGATGTTAGGATGATTAAGTACTGCCCAGTTCACTGAGGCTGGGACTACACTTCTAAACTATCCTTTCATGCAATAAATTAGCTTGGAATGAACATGTACTCTTCTGACCTTTGTGGTTGGCTGAAATCTACAGGGTCTAGCAATCTGATGATTTAGGTCCTTGCTCATTAGAAATGCCAATATGTAACAGGAAAAGGAAATCCATTCATCAATATGTTCTTCTGGGAAAATAAGATAAAATACAGGAGAACTGATCTTTATAAAAGCTTTCATTCCCTTAGGAAAATCACAGGCTAATAACAGAGAAAAGATGCTGGGCAGCAAGTTTGCAGGGCTTTCTCCTGCTTTCCAAAGTTCTGCAGTATGCCCAATGCCTTTCTCCAAGGCCACCTCTTTCTTGAGCTCTTCCTTGTCCTCCCACAAAGTCCCTCACCTACTTGCTGCCTGTACACCTGCTCTTTCCCGTTCAGCAGGCCCAGATGGGGCTATTTTTTTCAGGCACACTGAACTCCAGCCTGTTGAACACAAGTAAACATGTAGGAAATATGCTGATGTGGATCTTAGGAATAAAATCTCAGTCCTATCATCCCATCAGTCAATGAGTCAAAGATTAATAAAAATATCAATCTATTCATCCTTAAATCTAAAGTGTAGCTACCATGGTCTTAGACTCGTTAACTTCTCCTTGCCCAATACTTCATAAACTAACTACTTTCCTTGGTTGCATGTCACTTGCTAATTATTCATGTGACAAACCCATCAACCAACCTAAAGTTAGGCACTACAGTGGAAGCAACCGTCTTTCTCTCTGGAGCAGTGGTGGCAAACCTATACCATGTGTGTTGTTTTTTCTTTAAAAAAAAAAAGATGTTACTGTATAAGTTGTTTTTTTCCTAAACTAAACCTCAGTATTCAGGTTGAACTGCAGTGCTGGCACTTTGTGATAAATAAGTAGCTTTGGGTTGTTGTTTGGGCAGTCATCTCTAAAAGGTTCGCCATCACTATACATAGATCTCTTGTATTTTATCTTATTTTCACAGAAGAACATATTGATGAGTGGGTTTTCTTTTCCTGTTACATATTGGCTTTTCTAATGAGCAAGGATTTGAATTACCAGATTGCTAGACTCTATAGATTTCAGCCAACCACATGGGTCAGAAGAGTACATGTTAGAGTGAGACAACTCATTTCTGTACTATAAACATGCAGATTGTACATGGAAAATGGGTGCCTAATATCTTACCCTCCATATTTGTTAATAGGTAACAAGGCTGTAATGGAGCTGCTCTGTGGAGAACAATTAGTCTCCTTCCCACCAGTCAGCAGGCCCACTTCCCAGAAGCAAACACTGTTACTGGCCTTCCATAAAACATAGTCTAGGATACAGGAAAAGTCTCTGCTCTACCTCTGTCTTTCCACAAGGAGGGATTATGGAAATTTTCAAACACTAATAATGAGAGAAGCGTATAGTGGAATTCCTATCTAGCCAACTTCAGCAATCATAACACTGCTGTCACTCTTGTCTCATCTTATGTCTTTGGTTTGAAGTTAAATGGCAGCACATCACCTCCTTGTTTCCCCTTTGATTATACTGTGTTGGTTGTATATGCTTCTGCCTTGTTCTTTTCGCAAATGCATAGTGTTTCATTATAGAGGCAGATTCATGATGTAATCTGTGCTCTGCTGATGGCCATATAGATTATTTCCAGTAGTTTGTGACTTCAAACAGGCCCAAGATATTTGAAGTCACAAATCTTGTTTCTGCCCAACATGTCTGTAGGATAAATACTAAAAGCTCAATTGCTGTGCAGAGGCCATGTGCACTTAGAAATGGGATAGATTGGGTGGAACAGCCGCTGAAGAAGTTGTCTCAATTTCTATTCCCAGCTCTTCACCAACAAAATGTGTTCAGAGATTTATCCTCACCAATCTGATAGGTGTACATTTTCCTCCCTATAAGTAAGATGAGGCATCTTTATACAAGTTTAAGACCATTTTTTTGTGAGCTGCCTTTTCATCTTTGCAGTTTCTGTTGTCATATTTAGAACAGCTTGACCACACAGCAGGCATATTTTTAATTTCTTATACTTTCATGACTTTTTCATATTTATACATTTGATTCACTTGCTATTTATTTCAGAGCATAAAATAAAGTAGGAATCTGACTATATTTTCTAGCTGGCAAGTTGGAAAACCTCAACAACAGTTATTGTACCTCCCCAGGCTGCTGCTTTAGCTTAGATTTTGGCCCAATAATATCTCAATTGCGTAGTAGCTTATAGTTATTACGTGCTTTTAAGAAAAAATTAAAATACAATTGCAGTGGTTTTCAGAGAAAAGCTAAGTTACAATAACCCAGGCTGCCACCTTCCTGGATGTGGAAGAATGACCAGTTCACATCAGTCAGTTCTAGAATGCCTACACAATTGTAATTTATAACATTTATAGTCTTCTGCTCTATAACCATAATTCCCATAATATTTTTAGCCATAGATAGGCTAAATGTGGGTAGCAAGATGCGTTCATGCTGCCCCAAGCCCTGTGTGACATCTCTGGCATTTTCTGGTAATGACATCCAGTCTCTCTGCAGAGATCTCTCTGGACGGCAGGACATGTTTCCTCTTATCATGTGGAAGCTGATAACAGTCGAGAATTCCTCACGACAATGGTCAAGGCAAAGGGTTACATTTAGATGTCTCTAAAAAATTTGAAATATGAGCCTCTTGCTAGATCATGAGCAGAAAGTGGAGGAGTGGGACATGCTAAAAACTTAAGAGCATACCTAGATTCTTCTCCAGGACCTGGAAGAAGTGGAGAGGGAAGAACAATGAGGTTTGAAGTCTTTGTTTCCCTTGTTTCCTTGTTGAAATGAAAATAGATCTGAAGAAATACTTATTGAGCATGAGTCCTTTCTTAGCTCCATACAGATGAATCTTGGTGGCCAGGCTGGATTCCTCTGGGAAAGCCCAGGTTTGGGTTTTGCAAACATAGCAAGAAAAGCAACACGAAAAGGCACTATGGAAATTCTGCCCCTTTCACCAGAGTCAAAGCGCATGTAGATGGGCTTCTGACACCTGAAAAGTGAGGAAGCATCTCCCTAGACCAACCCCACAGTTCATGCAGTCTTGTCCCATGAAGCCTGGCCAGAAGTGAGCATCTCACCTGGGCACAATGTTTGTATGAGATTTGTTTCCATACAAGCCATGTCCTGTTCCTGGTGAGAGGGAATGTGCTGTCCCCAGGTTTGAAGTAGTACTCTCGGTCAGCATCTCAGCTGTTTGGGCTTTTATCACTATGGTGACCATATCATTTATCCTGCAAAGCAGGAGACACATCAGAGAATGTAATTAATAATTAAACAGGACCATATGCATAAATTGGGGCTATCCCAGGGAAACTAGAATGAATTGCCAGCCTAATTACGCTCTCCGTTTCCATGATAAATCCAAATATATTGCACTAGTCTCTAATATATACCTCATTTTTTCTCTAGTGTTGCAGTGAAAACCTGACATTATCTTTATTGCCAAGACTAGGTACTTAGTCATACTTAGCAGCAAAACTGGTATCACTTAGTAATGAATTATTTAATCTCCAAAGTCTTTCAATTTTATGAGTACATGCATTCATTTTTACATTACACACTGCTATCTTGCTCATGCCTTTCTGTTACAGGAAATGGAGCTTGATTTGTTGCCTTAGTTTATTACCCAAAGATTGTTGGAAGGGTGATGGTGCTTGTAGAAGGTAAATTTACTCAGTCCATTATAGTTGCAGAGTAGCGGCAGTGGGTGACACTCACTTGTTGGTGACTATGTGGCAGGTCCTGCGCTGAGAATGTCACTGTCTCAGTCCCTGGTTAGCCCCTAAGGAAAGAAAACCAACCTCATCTCCTCATGCTCAGGAACTAGAAAACACACAACCCATGCCCTCAAGCACATTATACAGTCTATTCCTCATTGATGAATTTATTCTATAATCTACAGTCGGTTAGTATTTCCTTTAATAGAGAAATGTCACTTGAGAGTCTGTCTCTTGTTCAGTGCCTGTTTCCTAACTGAATCTACCTGTTGTCACTTGGTTCATTTCCCACACAGCTGTGGTTTACAGACTTCTGTGGTGGCTCCTATGTTTTGCAGAGCTAGGTTACCTGGTGGTATTTCCACTGAACTCCAGCAATAAGAACTTAGAAATTCAACTCAAATGTTTTAAAATAATTTTCAAGTGTTTCTAGATGTATGGAATACTGAGTCCTGTGATGATGTGATTTTTCTTGCTGCTTTTTGAGATAGGGTTCCCTCTGCTACCCAGGCTTAGTCATGAATTCCTGGGCTCAACTGATTCTCTTGCCTCAGTTTCCTGGGTAGCTGAGCTCACAGGAATGCCCTACTGTGTGCTGGGCTATGATATTGCATTCAATCATTTAATATCTGTAACCTTCTGTCTCTCTGGAGGTTCCAGCACCAGTTCCTACACACCTGTGTGTCTATGAGTCTTCTAGTCTCCAAAACTTAGAGCAGAAGGTGGCTTGGCACCCAGACTCACCCTGGACACCAGCAGACAACTGTGTCACATATTTACTGACTTGCTGTCTCTCATTGGCAACCAAGAAAGTAAGCCCCATAGAAAGAGGTGCCTTATGATTTTGCACCTGCACTATTTCTGTTGCTTTTTATTTCTATTAAAAAATTGAGGGAATGCTGACATTACTGATAAACATTACATATGTGCTAGAAACTTCCTGTGCATTATTTTATTTAATCTTCATAATAAAGCTATGAGATAGGTCTTGTTTGCTTGTATTTTCCAGAAGAAATTGAGATTCAAAGAGGTCAACTGACTTGACAAGTCCCAAAACACTGGTCTTTGGATAAAACCCAGCATAGAATAGCCCCCAAGTTCAAGCTCTTCCACCTCCTTTGGCTGACATCTTCCCTGCCTCCTGGCCAATGACACACTTCCACCCAGCTTCTGCAGGCTTGACTTGTCTTTCAAACCACTGGGTCAATTCTTTGAACTAATTATAGGAAGTATTCAGGTGAAAGAACTTCAGCAGATCATGCCAGATAATCTAGACCAGACTTTGGAACACTGGCCATCCATATTCACCAGTCCACCACAGCTTGGCCAGTTCTTTCATATGATAACAGAGAAATGGAGTAATTAGTGTAATGCTTAAAATATTTTACCAGCTTCTCATTTTAGGTCTTTATAAATTGAAAAGCCATGTAAAGGCAGAGGAAAGTTTACATCCCTTAGGTAGTATTAGCACAGATCTCCAATACGAACTCCAAAGCCCATGAACACTATGGGATTGGCAGATTCATGATTGTTTTATATGCATTTATGAATAAATCTCTAAATGTCAGAGAAAATTTGGGCAATTAGGTTAACAAAGGTCACTCCTCCACCTCATACAGTGACGGGGATTATCAGTAAATGAGCCTATACCGTGCAGCAATTTACCGTTCTTCAAATATTGCTTTTCAGGAACTCTGATGGAAGTGTTGATGCCTGGTTATGAAGCTAAGGAATCATGCATAATTTTATGTTTATTGCAGGGGATTCATAAGCCAAACCCTCCTCAGAAGCCTCTGCCTGCCAATCCTTTGAACAGGACAACTCGGCTTTCTAATGCTGCAGTGAAGACACCGGGACAGCAGGAGCCTGGGTTTCGCCCAGCACCCATTAGGTGGGTCTCCTCTCTCTAGTGGCTTTGGGGTAGTGGGCTAGGTTATGCCTTGTGTTCCTATGACTGGGGACAACAGGAAATAGAAACATAATCAAAAGCAGCAACAGGAGCCACAGCTGCAAGCGTTACCGCCTAGCTCTCAGCAAGGGCCCAGAATGCCTAAGCAACTGGCTCAAGATGAGGTAGAACTAGATGGCATAGCTGGGAAAGCTGTGGCTGCTGATATGGCCCTGGCCTTGTCTCACAAAGGCACTAAGAAGAAAAACAGTGTGATCGCATGATGGTTAGATACCCACTTCCAAAACTCTCACCAAGACCAAGTCTCCCCAGACCCTGGGATCCTGAGACATAGGTCAGGTTTGTGGGTAAATGACAGGTAAAGCAGAAGCAGCAGCTTAAAGCAGGAGATTAGGGGCTTCTCTATGCAACAGAATTGCCCTTAAAGGCTTGCTCCTGCTGGGGTTGTCTGTACACTTTCTCCTAGGGGACTAGGAAGACAGCCTGAATCCTATGTATGCATGGAGGTTAGCCCAATGCCATGGTGGAACTGGTGGTTCACAGTGGTTGGTGAGAGATATTAAATTTCCAGAAATTTTGCAAACAGTGTGTTAAACCTAGCTAAATACTGTATTAAAGACTAAATTCTATAAACTTAAGCTATATAAAAAACCAAGATAATAAGTGCTCAAACATCACTTCTATTTTTTTGTTTTGTTTTGTACTACCTTTTGCTATAATTATTTGTGGCACTGAGTTTGCAGATATCTATTATCCAGGTGGTGGAGTTCAGCATCATGGTACTGCTCATGTCACTTCCATGTTTGGGGACATACTGGTGGTACCTTGGAATCACACCCTGTAGGAGTATTTACACCATGAAAATTGGCAGATGAGACCAGTCAGGCCCTCCTCCCCCAGAAGGCTGTGAAACCCACAGCCCAAACTCTCTTCTGACTCACATGGCAGGATGCTCACTTTATGAGCTCAAAGGAACCAAAGGTACTGACTATTGGCCAGGCCCTGTGCACAGTAATTCATATCTCAGAGGGGGAAGACACACACCAGTGATTACAGGCTCTGGGAAGAATGTCTGGCCTATGAAAGAAATAGCTGCCTAATAAATCTCACAGATAAAGGCAGTCAAAGGGTCAGTCCAATGGTTTAATTCCCAACTGCAGAAATACGGAAAAAATTGCATAGCATCCTAATTATTTCATTGTGGTTTGCATGTTGATTTTAGAGTTGCTTTTTTTCCCCCCTCTCTTTATTTGGAGGGGGAAAACACTACTTTACATGAGCATGTTAAGGGGCTGGTTCCTTTTTTAAATGCCCTTAAGCAGTGGCCTATCTCACCTCTACCTCACCATAGTAATCAGCTCCTCTCTACCTGTTTATTTTAGAAGGATCACACATAGCCTGCTCTGCTGTGGTTATCAACAGCTCTGCTACCCAGTAGCCACTGGTAAAAAAATAAAAAATTGGCCCAGGGATGTAGCTCAGTGGCATAAGTTCCTGCCTGGCAAGTGCAAGGTCCTGAGTTCCATTCCCAGTACCAAAATAAATAAATAAATAAATCAAAATCTGCTATCAATGTAAATACACACTCGACTTTGAAGACTTAGAACCCCTGAAATGCCAACTGTCTTATTCATTTTCACACTGATGACATGTTGGAATAATACTCTAAATGCATTGGGTTAAATGAAATGTATTACCAAAATTAATTTCATATATGTCTCACTTTTTCAAGTGGCTATTGGAAAACCTAAAATTACCTAAGTGACTCACATCATTTTTTTCTGTTGGACCATGCTCTTCCAGAATCAGCTGGTAGATGGGAGAAATAGCTTTGGTGCGGGCTTCTCTGGTGATCAACCATCCATTGTAAACCACTGGGAATTCTGCAGCCCTGAGCAAGGTTCTTGATATCATTTGCAACCCCTGGCAAAAATAAGAGTGGTCTCCATTCAGATCTAACCTAATAGCTTGTAGGAAAAAGACTTATGCCATCCAAGGCTTTAATATCCACAGAAGTAACACTCAAGATCTCTAAATACAATTTTGTTTTCTTTTCTCTCGATTGCTCTTACTTCAGACCTGCTCCTAAATATCCACACCAAGTGCCCAGATCCACGCACACCGCCTACATTAAGTGAGAAGCAAGTTGACGCCTTTTTTTCAACAGTGAAGACAGAAGTTTGCACTATCTTTCAACTCCAGTTGGAGTGATTTTTTTGTACCAATTTTTAGAACTTTTTAAATTTAAAAAACCATTATTTCAAGAACTTTGAGCTACTGCCGTCGGTGCTGTGCTGTGCTATGGTGCTCTGTATACTTGCTCAGGAACTTGTAAATTATTATTTATGCAGAATGTTTATTACAGTGCAGTGCGCTGTAGTAGGCATTTTTACCATCACTGAGTTTTCCATGGAAGGAAGGCTTGTGCTTTTAATATTTTAGTGAACTTGAAATATCCTGCTTGATGGGATTCTGGACAAGATGTTTACTTTCTGATCAAGGCTTTATTGGGAAACAGTCACCCAGCTGCCCTCAGCTGTGGTTACGGTACCTGACACAATTCGAAAGAGCCCAGGTAGAACACCTTGAGTGATTTTGTGGAATTTCTAACTTGGGCCAGAACTAGGGGCTGAAGTCCAGGCTGTGCTTGGCCTTCAGGGAGGTCCTGGGCCCTGGCAAGCTGACAGGCCCCCAGGACAAAAGAGAAGGATCTGGTTTCTGGCCAGGATGCTTTGGAGAGAACCTGGGTTGCAGTCAGGAACTTTGAGGTGTGGCCCCAACCAAGATAGAGACTGGAATGCCAGGCCAGGCAGAAACTTGACCTGGAGCTGACCAGCCATGAGCACATTTGGACAGCAGACAAAGAAGAGATCTGTAGTTTTGCTCACGGTTTTGCTACATAGACATAGAAACATTAAGAACTTCTTTTACTGGCTGTTTTTTTCAGAGTGCTGGCATTTAACACATTATTTAGATTGGGAATGGTGGTGTTTCCACAAGGAAGCCACTGCAAACCTCCATCTCCCAGTACTGTTTGGAGCTAAGCAAATTACCACATTATCTTCTCAACTATAATACAATGACCTTGTGTTCAGACAGACAGATGAGGCTTTCCATGGGACCATAATGATTTTCAGATGTAAAGTAGTAACCAGATCTAGTCAATCGATTGTTTAGATAAAAATCTCCTTTTACTGAAAGGTTCAACTTATTAAAAATGAGAATCCATATGCTTGCAGAAACTAAAACAAAATGAAATGCTATTCTCCTGGTATAGCCTAAGTCTGCTCTACTGATCAGTATATATTGGACAAAGAAACCTTAAATTCTCTGTAGCACATTTTATTTTCTCAGTTAGACTTCAGGAATCTTTAAAAGATGTTTCTAACATAGTATGAAGCCTTAACACTTGCAGCCTACCTGTTGAGCATCACAGAATGTGAAAAGGAAATCATTTGCCTGATCTTACATATTCCTGAAATGGGCAAGTGGCCCCCTCAACATTTTAGTCTGCCAGTATCTGACTAGGAGGCATTTCCACAAGAAGATCTTCAAGACGCCTGAATCCAGTGGCATGAAAAATATAAAAATGCTCAGATAATGCAAAATGCCATCCTGCCTCTCCCTGTCTTCTGGTTAGGTCATATATAGTTAGTTTTCATATTAGAAGTCAATTGATAATAGTTCTATAATTCACTCTGAGTGTTTTATGATAAGACTTTAGGAGTCATTGCAATGGTTTTCCTATGCCTTGAAGCAGAAAGAAAAATACATACCAAGAATCTTGGTTTGCCTTCCAAAAAACAAAACTGCATTTAACTTTGCCCATGCTCCCCACTATATCCAGGCAACATAGTATTCATAACTGTAGATAAATAAATCTATGTCACAAACACACACAAAAGGGAACCCAGTTCTAATACATTCCAACTCTTATACATCTGTTTATTATACAATTATTTTCTTAAAAATGTAAAGCCATGGTAGATGATATTACTGCTGATGAGATACATACAGAATTACTGTAACTGATATTACATTTGGCAATTGTATTAAGGCCAAAACATATAATATTGAAAAGGTTTACAGTTTTTTATGGTGCATTACGTGGGCATTATCTTTCTAGATGCCCAAATCCTTAGATCTGACATCTTAGCTCCTTCTATTGTGAGTTAGAGGAAGAATATGAATGGACTTTTTTGCTCTTCTTAACTACAAGACCTGTGCTTTTAAAGAACCAGGAAAAGTTTGATATTAAAGGAGGTTAAAACTGTGATCCTATGTCATGTCATCAATGGCCACTTAGGGGCTGTGGCTGGTGACATATTCTTATCTCTACAATACTTAATAGCTTTTATAGAGCCATGCAGTTTATTTCTGAATAAGAGCATATTTAAACCTAATATTCCCTTATAATACACAGATATTAAAAGAGTACTTCCAAGAAGCAATATTTATCAAATAAAACATATATAGCAATAACTTCCATTTTAATGTAACTTAGGAGCCAATAACCAGGATGGTAGTTGTTTTTTGGAGGAAGATATTTTTCTCCCTTTTTATTATATTCATAAAGGATGGAAACAAAAATTAAGAGTTACATTTCAATGGTGATCTGATTATTCTTTCATATTTTTGAAAAGCTTTGTAGGCATAACAGAGTTGATGTGAGTTTTATAAGACTATCACTGAGGAAGTTCAGTGCCTAGACACAAAGGAGGCCTGGAGGTTACTCACTTTCCTTTGTACATCTAGGAATAGCTGCAGGTTATATGACCCCACTTTGTAAGAAAGTATATGGCTAATCTTCCAGGCATTCCATTAAAAGTGTATATCCTGAAATGTTTTTAACAGTTTGTTTTCCTAACACATGGAATCAGATGTGTAGCAACCAAGAGAAACAAGGTGTAACATTTTCCATTGTCGAAATATGCATGCAGAGGTTACACTACCCAGTGTGAATTTTCCAGCTTACACATGTGGGATGACATCACAAAAACCACAACAGCAACAAAATAAACTATATGAGAATAAAGACTTCTGAACTAGTCTCCAAGGGGACATTTTTATGCCTTCTTAACTTTATTAGGAATTCTCAGGCTGAAATTTAGGCCATTGTTCTCTGACAAATCAATACAACACATCAATGCATCCCCTAAAACTGCTAAAACTCCGATCTGTGTCAGAATACTCTTAGGACCTGTGATCCCCTATGGTGCTAAAAAGAGCCTGATGCTGGGCCAACAAGAATGCCTGAGTATCCTCCTGCCACCTCTCAAATGATGTTTACTAAGCACTCTGAGCCAACAAGTCCCTGAGAGGGCAAAATGCCTGGGCAGCTGGGCCAGATCTTCCTAATACACTCGGACCTCTTGCTGGTTTTTCTCACGAGGCTCATTTCATCTTTAAGTTTGGCTAGGTATGACTGCCCTAGATGTCCTAGAGAAAGCTAGGGCAGACTTAGTCTACAGATGCTTCCTCACTGCTCTCAAAATGGTCCCAGCTATATACTAGTGACCAGGTTAAAGTTACAACCCTCCTACAAGTCTCCCCAAACCAGCACTAACCCAGAGATGTGATTTTCAGGCTGGAAGTTTCATACACAGCAAGTGGCTGGTAGGAGTCATCGCAGGTACCACCTTTTCCCATCCCGAACCATGCTAGAAGTCAGCACAATGCTGCCACAACTACTCCCCATGATGTATCAGCAGGCCCATACACATCTTCTGGACACAGTAAGCCAGGGGCAAAAATGGCCCTTTACCTTTACCTTTCCTGGTCACCAGACGCAAGTGCCTTATGGAAGCTAAACCCAATGCTGATGCCTCTCCAGTCTCCAATAATCAAATCTCTTATCTACTTTTGTCAGTACTTCAAGTCAGCCAACATGGTGACTACTACAGTATGTGGCTATCCTGCAGGTCCACCTACTGGACACTCAAAGCCTACCTTCTCCAGGGTCACAGCACAGAGCAACCTTTCCAGCACCCTCCAGCCTTGAATTCCCCCAAGTCCCTCCGCAGGCATACTGACCACAGTGACTTCCCATCTAATGCCTTGTTCTAATTAGCGAAGTTGGCCATAGAAAACTCAATTTAGCTATGCTTGCAAAATTGTCTTGACTCACTCTCAAGTTACTATTGACATCTATTGTTTTTAAACATATTTGAAAACTCCAATCGAGAAACAACCTTCCAAGAAAGATTTGTGAGCCCCATGCACAGAACTATTTCTGAGAAACAAAATACTTCCTACAGCCATCTATTCATATAGGAAAGTACCATTTCCCTGGCTGTTGCAGAGAATATCCTCCCCGCTTTACTTTTGGGAAAGTAGCAGCAGTTTATAATCCAGCCATTATAATCTTGTTTCATATTAAAAACACAAGAAAAATACTACATATGAAATGGTTAAAATAGTTAATAGTGGATAGTGGTAGTCAGAAAATGGAACAGTCAAAAGAACTCTTGATTTAAAGTCATTTGGCTCCTTGGGGTTACATGCCTTCTAATTCCACCCTGATTTCCCATATTGTCTTAAAAGCATGCTCTATATTCCCTGTAATTCTCCTAGAAAATAGCCTTTTAGTCCTTAACTTAGCACATTTAAATCCAGACAGAAGAATATATGATACATGATCATTTTAGTTGTACAAAAAAGTTGCAAACCATTTTACATTTGTGGCCTATAATAAGTAGGTATCTTCATAGGGCAGTGATAGGAAAAACAAATGAGAAAGATAAAACTCTCTAGGCAATAGATGGCCAAGACTTTTAGGACAAGTAGAAGCAGAACTAATAGTTCCCTTACCTCCTTCTGTCAAGTCAAATTGGTAGGTGGTCGGGCAGCCTGAGGTCTGAACGTGTGTGCCAATTGTCAATGCAACTCTTTCACTTGGTTACAGGCTGTTTAGCACAGTACAGATTGAAGTTACGGCTACATAAACCAGCACAGTCATTCTGCAGTGCTTCATCCATTTATAATGCTTTGGTTTGCTAATTTTTTCACATAACTTTTTATGTTACATTCTGTTACTTTTGTACACATTTCTCATATTGGGGATCTACAGGTAAATACAACCTGCTATTTCAGTAGAAAAAGTCATTGTTAAGAATATTATACCCAATAAATGGTAAACAGATAAACATAACAGTGTCTTATTTATTACTGAAAATGTTACAAAAATGGAGACGAAGCCCTCATGTAAAAAATGCATATTCAGGGCTGGAGATTTAGCTCAGCGGCAAAAGCGCCTGCCTGGCAAGAGCAAGGTCGTGAGTTCGGTTCCCGGTACCGGAGAAAAACCAAAACCAAAATAAATAAATAAATAAATAAATAAATAAAAATTGAAATAACTTTAAAAAAAATACATATTCATATTCATTTATAAATGTATGAAACAATTTTGGAGCACAAGAAAATAAGCAATGGGGAGGGGCAGCAAGCAACATACATATTGTTAATTCTCAGGGGCCAGCTGGGGAGGGGACATGGGAGGGAAGAAAATGCCTGTTCATACATACCATTGATGAGAGTATCAGGGACACTTGATACTTTTTTCAGCAACATAAATTCATAATTATCAAAAATTTTTAAACTCACCTTATTTATGTAGGAGATAAGTTTACAAGGTAAGCAATGGCAGAGACATCAGATGAGTAGGAACTGAAAATCTAAAGGTCATAATCTATTCTTAATATTTTTATATTTTTGAATTTTTAAAAATAGCTCCCAACTTCGTCAAGAAGCTGCAGGAAATAAAAAACATACATACATATTCATCTATATATATACATTCATATATATACTCATATATATTCAAAATGGTAACAAGAATAAAGAGGTCCTTATCCTTGCCATTTTCCACTTGTGACAAAATAGGCAAAAGGTCAGTATACAGCTGATTTCAAATAGTTATTAAGATAGGTGAAGTAGATATATATCAAATGAGACACTCCAAACATACAAGTCTTCTTTCAAAATACCTTGAAAGGAGAAGGGTGCAGAGAGAGGGGGAAGGGAGAAACTTTTTTAAAAAAATAATTCTGTGTCCTAGAAATGTAATGATTCTATAGTCAAAGATGAATTACAGATTATCTAGAAAATAGCAATTAAAGCACTGCAAATAACACACATTACGGCTGTACTCAAAACTCCTTGAATTATAAGAACTTACCTTGGATACCTGTTAAAATCCATTGCCATGCCTTTTCCATGGACATTCCCATTCAGAGTCTGAGACGAGCCCAAGAAATCTGTATTTAGCAAGTACCCCTAGTGGAATCTTTAGATCTGAAAGGTTTAGAAAAAAGCGCATAGTAATTCAACTAAAGAACCGCTGAAGGGGAAATTCATCGCCCTAAGCACATCTATTACTAAACAAAACAGAAGGAGATGAGTAAATTTAATAATATCAACAGAAAAGTTATAAAAGGAACAAGAAAATAAGCCTATGGAAAAATAGAAGAAATAAATTTGTACAAATAAAAAGTGTAATTAGAAAATAGAACAAATAAAACCATAAGTTGTTGCTCGTAAAGAAAACTGAAATAGAATTAAACCACTTGCTAGTCTTAAGCATAAAGGGCAAATATAGCGACGCAGCAATAAAGCATATAGAATGCAGCAATTCACCACAACCCAAGGAGATTATCTCAGGAATATAAGGATAGTTCAATATTGCCCAGAGGGTGGACAACATTACCAAACCTGGTAAGAACAGTAAAGAATGAGGATCACTGCTTCTGGGTTGGCAGACGACCTCGAGCCTTCAAAAGCAAGATGGTGGTTTTGTCTTGAGGCTGAATATCTTCTGCAGTGTCCGAGGAGGCCGAGCTCTGTTCCTTCAAACTCCAGTGTTGCGACCTGTTCATGTTGCAGTGTTTCTACAAGACTGACTTGCCCCAGGGTAGCTTGGAGCACAGAATATTCACCTGTCACCCAGCCATCATTCTGGTTTAAAGGCTGCATTTCTCCACTGGGCTAGCAAAAGAGTTACCAGTGTTTTGCTCCTGAGCCTACTTCCAGCTACATACTTGAATCCTTGCTCTGCAATGGACTACTCCCTGGCAGCAGCTGTGACTCTTTATAGTCACTGGGGCCTTGGACAAGTTGTTACTATGTTCATGGGGGATGCACGGCAGAAAGCTGCCAAGGCAGGCCTTTTGGCGCTCTCGGCCTTACCCTTTGCTGGGCTTTGTTACTTCGACTGTCATAGTGTGGGCATTTGCAAAGCTGTTGCCATGCTATGGAAGCTCTGATCTTTTTGACTTAATACCTTAAGAATTGAATGTATGCCTCCTTGCCTCTGCTCTTTCATGATATTCAGCTCACAATAAGGAAGAAATAACAGATAAGTCCATAGAGGACAAACCTTCTCTTTATCACATGGTTATTTTCAGAATGTAATTTTGAGGAAAAGGTTTGAGAGAAATTATACCCAAGAAATAGTGAGACCAAGTTCTGTAATTTTGGTAAGTTAATAGGATTTTCTCCCAGCTCACAAGACTCAAGATAACTAAACATTACTTATGAGCTTTTGCTTTGCATTTTTATCAGGCTCTTAAAGAAAACTCAGTTTTATTACGATCAATACATAATCACAATTTTGTATTTTTCCTAGGAACAATACACAAAAGGAAGGATTGTTAATTCATGAGTAAAGACTAAAAAATCAGTATTTAATTTTCAGAAACTTCTCTCTCTGTTCAGTTGGTAACAGCTAATGATGATTATTTTATGTCCTAGAGAAACTTTAAAATTAAGAGATGCTGATAGCTGCCATTACAGATCTCTAAATCCTAGGAAGGAAAGCATGAAGAATCTCTGCATCTAGAGATCCATTAGGGAAGAGGTCTTCCTTGCAGCTGTATTGGAATATTACAGATTCCAAACAGAATTCTCAAGTGTGTTTTACTTGTCCTAAAATAATCTATGCATAAATATAAAACTGTATATAATACATTATTTTCCCACTATGGGGGAATTGCTAATAAGAAAATGTATTCTATGAAAAGAAACTTTAAAAATAAAAGATTGTATAATAATAAAAGAATCGGGTGCACACTCCCCCCATAGAAGGTGTTAAGGGATATACTATACAAAGACAGATATAAAATTAAGGTGAATGACACCACCAATCACAAAAAGAATGAGGGGCCTTGGCAGAGTTGTTCATATGCTCTCATTTTTAGATTTTAAAAGCCTAGCAAATTATAAAGAGGGGTGCATTTGCACAGAAGGTAACACACTATCTCTATAAACAGGATAGAACTGAAATCTCCACAAACAGGCTATATATGGCTCACAGATCTAATTGCTAAGGTGTGTATTCTATATGAAATAAAGCTAAAGATTACTAACATCAATAAAATTGATTGTTTTCTCTGGGTGCTCCCCTAAAGTTTTGGAGCTTTAATTACCTTTTAATTGACCTTACCTGATGGAGAAAATTCCACTCACATGCAGCTCTTTGTAGCTGCTTCACTCACAGGCCAGGTTTCTCTCTTGAGACACAAAATGCATGTGGTCTGCTAGCTAACGTTTTTGTTGATTTTTAAGTGTGTTTCCCAAGTTAAAGCTTCACCACATTTGTGTCTTTTTAAGGTCCCAACCAGCAGACATGGTTGTGGTTAACCCCTACTTGTCTATGAATTGCATGATCAGTTTCCAAAACTTTTCCACTCTGTCTGAAGACAGAATTGAATACTCTATGGTGAGGTCATCAAGCCACCAGCAGACTGAGTCTTTCATTGTCAGGGCATGAGTATATGCAAACACATGCATGGACAGGGCTGTTCTAGGAAGACTGACCCCCCAGCCAGACACAGCTAGCAGACCACGACCAGAGACTTGAGATATGTATTTGAGCTTTGATGTGAGGCCAAGAGCTGAAGAGAAAACTCCTGGGCTTTTAGGGGGAGCACCACTGCGGGAGGCAACAGCAGCCTGACAGCGCGGCCTGGAAGGCCTTCAGGTGGGGGAGGAAGGATAATAGGAAGCACATGGAGGAAAGAATGCCAACAGCCTGGGGCGGCCCAGAGGACAGCTGGGGGGCAGGAGCCAGGAGTGGGAGACCCATGCGTGTTTGTGTAGCTCTGGTGCATTAATGTTTTGTTTCATGTCTAACTCTAAAGGCAAAAGTGCAAGAAAACATCCCTGTTCTATAGACATCCAATGATGCAAGCACATAAGCACACGCACTTAGGTAAAAAGATGTATTTCAACGTGGGAACCGTTGTCTGTTACAAAAAGTCACTGTGAATCTTCAACTAAATAAATAAATGTGTAACCCTCAAAGACATGGAATTTCTTATATCTGTGTTCAACGGTCATGTTTTGCTTTGCTTTGCTTGGATTCTGTAGACGGGTGGTGCTCTGATCAGTGGACAGAAGACTTCTTTGGCAGCTGCTTTTTTCTCCTTTCTTCTAACAGGGAGAGCACATTCTAGAAAAACAAACCAAGCAGGTGAATGTCCTCCAAGGTTTTGATGGGGTGTTTTGGGATTCTGAAAACACTACAAATTAATCTTGATAGGCAGAAAGGACATCCCCACCTGTCTGTCAAAAACTCTGGCCATTTCTACCACGCCTTTGCCAAACTGAAAGAGGAAACAACAAAAATTATAATTATGTATTATAATATTGTATTTCTTTTTCCTCCTCCTCCAAGAGAATTTTTATAAAGGTTGAGTGATTTTACCTCATTTTTTATACTTGCATCTGCCCCTTTATCAAGTAGTAATTCAACTAACTGTTCATGATTATTTAGCACAGCCACCTGAAAAACAAAACAGCACAGTGTGAGCTGCTGCCACCCTTTCCCCCTCCCATAGGGGCACAGGCAGCAGACAGGATGCACCTGGCACACACCAGGCACAGGGAATCCACCAGCAGCACCACACAAAGACAGACCTGGCCAGGCCACTGAGGCTGCTCATGACAGGTCTGTGCCCTGCTCATTCGATTGGTGGTAGCAATTAGAAGGTAAATGTCACCTCCCTTGCTCCATGTTGAAGCAGCATAGAAAAGGCCAGGCCAGACCATCACAGATGGTTTTAACAAATATGTTTGATCCTACAATGGCCTTAGGGACTGAGGGTGCTAATCATTAAAGAAACTGTAAAAGACAACAAAAATGTTATAA